CTGATAATGATATGTATGAGGAACAACAATATGTATTTCTTCCACGTAAAAAAAGGTCAAAAACAGGCACACTTCGTCATATTACTGAAGTTGAGCAAGTCGCTGAATCAACTGAATATGATACGGATGATATCTACACCATCAGCAAGTTTGAAAAGTGTTGATTCACACCAGTATACCAGGGTATAAAATAGTACTGTAAAAATCGGAAAAAACTGATATATTTTAAAAATGTCCGAAATTTTTTATATCAATCGGTTTTTTTGCCGAGAAAAATTTTAAGGGGTAAATTATTTGAAAATGATTTTTTATGATAATCAGATATTTTTTTTTGTAGTTTTATCAAAATTAACGAAATAACGAAATATATACCTTAAAAAAAAATGACTCTTCTTCGTTATTATAAACCTATTAATGCTAATGTAAATAAAAGTAAAAATAAGGATAAATTGAATGAAAAGGATAAATCTTTATCTGAAAGTGATGAAAGTAATTTATCTTTATCAGAAACTTCTTTATCAGAAATTTCTACAGAAGAAATAGATGAAATAGACGAAAAAAATTCTCAAAGAAGTTCTAAAAAACGAAAAATTTCAAAATCTTGTATATCAAAAAGAAAAACAAAAGCGAAAATTAATAAAAAAGGATTTCAAAAAAAATGGCTTAAAGAATTTTCATGGTTAAGATATGATTCTAAAGAAAAAAAAATGCACTGTGAATTATGTAGATTTCATGGTATTAATATTCCTTTCGCTAAAGAAGGTATAACGATGTTTTAATTATAATATTATTAAGTAAAATTTTAATAATTTACATATTTAATCAAATTTAGGTTCAAAAAATGTTGGTAAAAAATCAACAATTCAAGAACATAATAATAGTGGCGGTCATAAAGAAGCATTAAAAAAAGAAAGTAGTAGGCTTGCAATGGTTAAAGCTACATCAAATGCTGTAAATCATGCAAATAAACACGTAGAGAGTTTAATGAAAATAATATATTCTATGGCGCAAAATAATCTTCCACTTAACCAATTTTCACAATTAGTACAACTTGGACGTGCACTTGAAAGTCCTAATTTAATTTCTAACTCAAATTCTATAACATACGAAAATCCTACTTCTGCAAAAGATTTATTGCTAGCGATATCTTCATCAATTGAAGAGGAATTATGGAACGAACTTAATGAAACTACAAGTTTTGGTATTATGGTGGATGAAAGTACAGATATTAGCACAGAATCACATATAATTCTTTATGTTAAATATTGTTTAAGAGGTTTTATTAAAGTCAAATACATAAAACTATTACATTTGAATGGTAAAGACGCCGAAACTATTTTTTTGGCTATATTTTCTTTATTTGAATCTAAAGGTGAGAATCTGTCTCTTATACACATCTAGATGTGTATAAGAGACAGGGTTAATATGTTTTTCGAATATATATGTGAAAATTAATATGTCGCACAAACCCTGCCTGGTGATCGGCCTTTTTCTGTCACACAATCTGTGGCTCAGCAAATTCTTCCGAGCTGATGATCACTATCCCGGGTTGACGATCAGTATTCCGGACTCACCTTCGGTAAAATTTTCCGCATTAAATATATTACTTTATTATAGCAATCATGGCAAATAATGATCCCGAAACAGTTGCTCAATTATATGGAGTGTTTTTATATAAGAAGAAGGATATAATAGCTATTCAGGAGAAACTCGGTATTGGTGGGAATGCAAATCAGTTGGTAGTACCTCCAGTTTCCGAGCTCATGGGGAAAACACTTGCCGATTCTTACAAGCTATTGTTAGAATTGGTAGGGGATTTAATTCCGATACAGGAGAAACTTGGTATAGATGTCAATCCTGTTCTAGAAGTAGAATATCGAAGCAATAAAGCTTCTGCAGATGTTTCATTTAGTGAAATATTAAATTTGCTTATGTATTTGGAAGAGGATATAATAGCAATTCAGGATGAACTCAATATTATTGGTTATTCTAATCAAGCAAGGGCAGAAGAAGTCGATGAGAATGTAAGAGCACAACTCCGAAAGCTTAAGGAATTTCACGGTCCCTTAGAAGATGATCCAGGCGTGATATTACCAAAATATGGTGAAATGGGGTAAAGAAAATTCTGTTTACTGGAGAGGGACTACCATTATTTCCGAAGCTCTCTCCTCAACAATTGCATGAAATATTCGTCAAAAATCCATCTAGTGCTGGTCAATGCCCATGTCTAGAACAGGTTAGCTAATCTATATTTTTTGTCACACAATCTGACCAAAGGTGCTGTGCATGGCCCAGCAAATTCTTCTGAGCTGAAGATCACCGCTCCGGATTAGTAAGATCAGTAGAGTTTCACCATTCTGCTTGATCGTCGAGTAATGCTACCGAATAATTCCTTGGCGCTTGTCTGGTTATAGCTATAGTGGAGTGATCAGCACCAGAGTCCACAGTCATAGATATATTGGAATTAAGTTGCTGGTATAACTGAACCGGATCCAGAATATTATCAAAACTATGCCGGGTGTTATATAACCGACCACCACTCCGGAGCAATGGTCTAGCTAGAATACAACGTTCACTCAATCTCCTTGATAATTCGTCGTTGATAAAATTTTTTAAGGATGCAACATCTCTTGGTGCATCATGTGGTATTCCCAGCAGGGTATAAAATAGTACTGTAAAAATCGGAAAAAACCGATATATTTTAAAAATGTCCGAAATTTTTTATATCAATCGGTTTTTTTGCCGAGAAAAATTTTAAGGGGTAAATTATTTGAAAATGATTTTTTACGATAATCAGATATTTTTTTTTTTGTAGTTTTATCAAAATTAACGAAATAACGAAATATATACCTTAAAAAAAAATGACTCTTCTTCGTTATTATAAACCTATTAATGCTAATGTAAATAAAAGTAAAAATAAGGATAAATTGAATGAAAAGGATAAATCTTTATCTGAAAGTGATGAAAGTAATTTATCTTTATCAGAAACTTCTTTATCAGAAATTTCTACAGAAGAAATAGATGAAATAGACGAAAAAAATTCTCAAAGAAGTTCTAAAAAACGAAAAATTTCAAAATCTTGTATATCAAAAAGAAAAACAAAAGCGAAAATTAATAAAAAAGGATTTCAAAAAAAATGGCTTAAAGAATTTTCATGGTTAAGATATGATTCTAAAGAAAAAAAAATGCACTGTGAATTATGTAGATTTCATGGTATTAATATTCCTTTCGCTAAAGAAGGTATAACGATGTTTTAATTATAATATTATTAAGTAAAATTTTAATAATTTACATATTTAATCAAATTTAGGTTCAAAAAATGTTGGTAAAAAATCAACAATTCAAGAACATAATAATAGTGGCGGTCATAAAGAAGCATTAAAAAAAGAAAGTAGTAGGCTTGCAATGGTTAAAGCTACATCAAATGCTGTAAATCATGCAAATAAACACGTAGAGAGTTTAATGAAAATAATATATTCTATGGCGCAAAATAATCTTCCACTTAACCAATTTTCACAATTAGTACAACTTGGACGTGCACTTGAAAGTCCTAATTTAATTTCTAACTCAAATTCTATAACATACGAAAATCCTACTTCTGCAAAAGATTTATTGCTAGCGATATCTTCATCAATTGAAGAGGAATTATGGAACGAACTTAATGAAACTACAAGTTTTGGTATTATGGTGGATGAAAGTACAGATATTAGCACAGAATCACATATAATTCTTTATGTTAAATATTGTTTAAGAGGTTTTATTAAAGTCAAATACATAAAACTATTACATTTGAATGGTAAAGACGCCGAAACTATTTTTTTGGCTATATTTTCTTTATTTGAATCTAAAGGTGAGAATTATTATTAAATATTAAAATTTTAAATTATATTTGTTAATTTATTAATTTATTAATTAATTTAATTTAATTTAGGATTGGAAAAAAAAATTATGTCTTTCTCATCAGATGGAGCTAGTGTAATGCTTGGTAGAAATAATGGTGTAGCGGCAAAACTTGCAAATAAAAATCCTTATTTATTTGTAAGTCATTGCATTGCACATAGATTAGCATTGGCATGTAATTCAGCTCAAAAACGGGTGACTTTTTGTAAATATATTGAAAATTTAATTAAAGAAACATATAATTTTTTTAGTAATTCTGAAAAAAGAGTTGAAACTTTGAGAAATTTTCAGACGATATTGGATCACCCGACTTTAAAGATAAAAAATATTTTTGAAATTAGATGGCTGTCTTGGTATGAAGCTGTTAAAAGTATATGTATATCTATTGAGCCATTGCTGGATACAATTCTTGAAATTACAACAACACTTTCATTTCAAAGACAACAATCAATGTTTAATCTATATTCAAAACTCTGTAATTGGAAAGTTTTAGTATTTTTAAATTTTTTGTATGATATTTTAGGTCATTTAATGGAGCTAAGCAAAATGTTTCAAAGGAAATATATTATATTTTCTGATATCGAGCCCATAATTAATTCTACTATTCAAAAAATAGAACATGAATATTTGGAAGTTGATGATGATGGAAATCAAAAATTGAGCGCACATTTAAATAATTTTCTATCAAAAGTACCTCCGGCAAAGGATTCTTTTATTGGTAATCATCATATTTTATTTGAATCTCGAGATGAAGTTGATTTACAAGTAGATATTATGGATTTTGCAGCCGCCGTGATTTGCGAAATTAATGACAGATTTCCACATAGACCAATTTTATCTGCTATGAAAATAATGAATCCAATAGAATGGCCAAAAAACAAAGAGAGTTTAAATGATTATGGAGAGAAAGAATTAGAGGAGTTAATAGGAATTTATGGAGTAGCCAATGCGCCTAATTATTTGATGCCAATCATTGATGCTGATGCTATTCGTGATGAATGGGATAATTTTAAAGCCATAATTTTAGCAAATTATGAAAATCTTCCTATTGATGATTTATTACCACTATTATTTCAGTATCATACTGATATGTATCCTAATATTCTTATTTTGATCAGTATATTTTATTCCATACCATTTTCTAGTGTAGATTGCGAAAGGGGTTTTTCTAGACAAAATTTAATTAAAACCGATATTCGGAATCAATTAAATAATGATTCATTGCATATGTTAATGATGGTTGGATTGCATAACGTAAATGTGATGGAATTTGATTTCAATAACGCGTTAAAAATTTGGTATCAAAGTTGTAAAAGAAGAATTAAATAGAATTTAAATAGAAATAAATAAAATAAACCTAAAATCATATTAAAATATCCTAAAAATTAACAAGCCGAACAATTTTTTAAGAATCGGAAATTTTTTCCGATAAATTTTTAAAAGAACCGATAAATTGAAACCATGTCGGAAAATTGTCCGGTAAAATTGAAATCCTATTTTAGACCCTGATTCCCAGTTGCCTTGCGAGTTGATGGATCAGATCTAGGGGATGTACCCGAATCGGCACAAAATTCTCAACATGGATATTTGGACTAAGCGAGGAAACCAGCTGATCTATGACTTCTTTGCTAATATTATTACACCCTTCCAAATTGAGGTACTTTAAATTAAGACATGAACCAGCAATTTCTTTGATAGTTATATCGGTAATTTGACAAAAACTAAGGTCGAGTTGCTGGAGCCTTGGGCAAGAACGAATAACATTACAAATTGATGTTTCAGAATATTCTCTACGATTAGAGATATTTAGATATTCTAATCTATGGTATGACTTCGCGATTCCCCATAGACCACTGCCATCTACTTCTCGAGTACGAAAGCTCCTAAAGCCACCTGGTCGATCAATGCATAGATTGAGGTACTTCAGATTCGAGTATAAACCCGCTATCAGTTCTAATGCTCTATTACTAAATGCTATGCTATTTATGAAACTCAAGTGGGTTATATTTGAGCATGAATGTACAATGCTTATGATTTTTTTATCTGAAAGTGAATGGTAGTATAATACTTCGAGATGAGTTACATTTGAGCAATAAACTGGCGTTTGCTTCCTACGTACTAACTTTATGAATTTTTTCAATCGAGAGAGATCCTTTGCACGTTCTATCCTTATGAATTTATTTAATTGAGGGTGATTCTTTGCACAGTAATTTTTATAATCATTTGGAAGAGATTGTCCAGGATATAAGTCTTTCCCTCTCAATTCGATACGCTTCCACAGAATAGGGGCACCGCATCTGTACCACAATCGGGATACATATAGAGCGGGATAGAGGGATTTATCTATCAATAAGAAATGTAAAATCTGTTCTAATAGTTCTGGTAAATGAAAGATGCTTGATTGCGCCATACATAGTGCATGTTATATGTTGTATCTTTAAACGAAAAAATAAAATTACGCATATTGATGATCACTACTTCAGATAATCGTTATTCTGCATGGGTTCATACTTTGAATGGGATCGCAAAATTATCGTCTAATAATAGTTTTGAATTGCATATATCCAAAGTTGCACCATTTTCTCGAAACCAAGGCCCTCCTAAAATTAAATCAGGTCCCGGCCAATCTGGTCCAACAACTATGAATTCACTGGGTGTGCTTTTATGTTTCTCACCATCATTAAAGCCGATATGCAGATTAACATTTCCTATTATGGAATAGGTTGAATCCAGAGTTTTAATGCTATTATTTTCATAATGATATGAAATTCCTAATTCACCAATATGTTTTTGGCTAATGCAATTTACATTGGCGCATGTATCAATTGATGCCTGGGTGGGACTATTTTCTTCGACTACACAATTCAAGAATACCATTTTTATTATAGCATATATAATATCCAAATATAAAAAATAAATTTCTATCACTGCGGACTGGCATTTATCGGATAGCTAATTAGCCTTATTTTTTATTATATGCATTTTCTCCTGATCTTTCTTTTGGGCTAAGCGCTTCCTAATTCTTTGATGCTTAATCATGTTTACTATCTCATCAATATCAGAATCGGATGAAATGGATTCGGATGAACTACTCTCGGATGACGAACTATATTCAGAAGAACTAGTCTCGGATGAGCTTGATTTAGATGAACTACTCTCAGATGAAGTAGACTTGGGCGGGATATTGGTTAAGGCTGTTAGATGCTTTTGATCACTTTCCATTTTGATTATTTATATGCTAAACCTAATAACTTTGACTGAAAAAATATGCAAAGTGCCTGACTCGACCCACTTCAAACTACAATCTGCTTAACCTTTCTCGGTCGTGCCTTACTTCGTTGCTTATGAGGGATATCCTCGCTCTTTCTTAACACAGCGCCTCTTGACCCTTTTTTACCAATAAGCGAGGGAACTATTTCATGAATTAAGTCGACCACAGTTTCCCTATCCACACATTCATCCAGATCTTCCACTACATATTCGTCCAGATTTTCCAATTCATCTTCTAAGGATCCTACATCTCTTTCCAGTCTTTTTACCGACTTTTTATACTCGGAATAGTAGTTATCCATTTTTTCATCCAGTGCCCCCATCTTTTCAGAAAGCGCATTATCCATATCTGCAATCCGCTTAGCAATTTTCTCATATCTGGACACTTCCTGCTCAATGGGTGCACTATCG